TGTGCCAAATTGGACAGACACGCAAGGGGCCCACGACCAGTGCTCCCTCTCAGGCCGTGAGTCCTCACGCCAGTAAAACAAAAGAAAATGAGTCCTCGTGTCAGGATGTTTGTGTCTTGTGTATATTTCTGTGGACATGTTTTGGTGGGTCAGTGTTTATCCACATTTGCTGAGAAGCAATCTGGAAAGATGGGGCTGCCCGGAGAGGTTGTGGAGGCTCCTTCCCTGGAGATCTTCAAAACCCGCCTGGATGTGACCCTGTGCCACATGCTCCAGGTGTCCCTGCTGGAGCAGGGGTTGGACTAGATGATCTCTAGATGTCCCTTCCAACCTCAAGCATTCTGTGATTCTGTGATTGCCTAGGGAGCCACCATGGCCTGCGTTCATGTGAGACATGAAACGGTGTTGCTGCATGTCAGCTCTTCTGAGCCCCTTGCCCTTCGTCCAGCTCACATGCAGCAGGTTTAGCCAGACTTCTCCCTCATTCTCCAGCCTTTTCATCTATGACCATCCTGGGGCTTGTACAAATGATCTGTACAGCCCTCACTTGGCCAATCCTCCCCTCACTCTTCCCCCAAAAACACTAGCATAGACATGGCCAGGATAACAGAGCCAAGACACACTTCTCCCCACCGCACAGCACCCACCCCAGCACTGGGCAACCCGGCCTGTGGCTTCTCCTGCTCCCTGCGCTGCCTCCCTCCTGCCTTCCTACCTGGAGCTACTGGAGGAGGGGCCTGCAGCCAAAACACTCTGGAGGGGGCCACAACAGCCACACAGGCTCTTTCTGACCTTTTCAAACTCTGACGAATGTGTTTAGTATAATTGGGAAGCACAAACAGACGAGAAAATTCAACTGGGGAAAGGTCAGTTAAAGGGCAAAAATCCAAATGACGCAAACACTGAAAATCCCCCTGAAGAGCAAAACCACACAAGGAAGCAGAAGGAGCCATAGATACGAGAGAGGATGCAGGAGGATGCTTCGTGGAGAGATGGATGGAGAGCCAGGGAAACCACTAGGGTGATGGGGCCAGAGAGCTCCAAGGGCTAAGGCTGCTCGCGTAGGTTAAGGTGATGTAAATACATCCCCATGCCCAACACACAGTTTGCAGGAGGGGCAGGGGGTGGTTATGGGAAGAGGATACACAAGGGATATTACGCCTTACACTGAAGGTGTTAAAGTGAAGATGATAAAGTGATGGAAAGAAAACAAAAACGCAGAAAATATTTCTGTTCTGTATTTGGTCAAGACCTGGAGCAGGATCAATGCACGTCATGTGAGGACAATGCAATGTCTTCCTGCCCTGGAGGGGTACCTGGCTGGGAATTACACAAGGCTTACTTCCGTTAGGCACAATCACTCTTCAGTCCTGCCGTACTGATCATTCACACCCGAGTCCTGAGCTCAAGCGGCTGACATGGTCTCTGAGCAGCCGCCTCTCAGCACCGTTTCCTAAGGGCCACGAGGCTGACGTGGCTGCCCTGCTACCTCAGAAGTCTCTCTGCATGGGCCAGTTCCAGCCTGATTTGACAAAGGAATCTGGAGAGTCCAAAAGGAAGGTAAGTTCCAGTAAGTTGTGTGAAAACTGGCAGCCTGATAGAAGAAAGAGTCAGGGTTGTTGGCTGCCCTGGAAGCCCTTAGCCACGCTGCCAAGCAAAAACCCGCTTGTCAAAGCAGTCCAACCGGCCATCAGAAACAAACCAGGGAGAAAATACAGGGAAAGAAGCCTATGTCAGAGAGCAGGGAAGAAAGAGCTCAACAGCACAGGCCGTAGGCAAGGAGAAAGGGCCAAGAGCCGTTAGCTGATTATGGGGGAGCACGGGGGATTTGACAAGGTACAGCAGGTAGTGGTGGGGAGGGGGAGAAGCAGGTAGAGCTGACAGCAGGGTGTCATGAAGAGATCCTGGCTGAAGCTGGGAATGTTAGTGGGAAGTATAGGAAATACAGGATACAAATGCATAGAGAAGCCAGTTTCTTTGGTCTTCGGTCCTCACCAAGCAAGTGGTTAATAAGCTCCGGAATAGCAGAGACATCGCAGAAGACTGGAAAAGAGCTACATGCTGCCAGTATTTGTGAAGAGCAAACAGAAGACCTGAAAATCTCCAGGCAGAGCAGCAGAAGAGCTGATATGAGATTCTCCAGTTAATGCCAATCGGCATGCTTTTGTAAGAAACTGATCTTGCTGCATGAACTTGTTTTGTTCTTGTTAGCCTTTGATGTGACTACAGGTCTGTTTGGAAAAGGTGATGCCTTAGATCTATCCAGGCTTTTGGAAGCATTAATATCCCAAAGCATTTTGATGAAAAAGATGGCATTATGCAATATTGTCAGATCAGGAGATCAAGTTTACTGGAGAATTGCATTCAGCTACCCACAGATGCAAAGGGGCTTGTTCCACCATTGAATAGCAGTGTTTCTTAGGTGCTTCTGCAGGAATGAGTCCTGGGTCAGGAATGATTCACCATTTTCTTCAGTGCTCAGGGTGCAGATAAAAAGTTCTCTCTGATACAGTTTGCTGATGACACAAATATTGTTAGAGAGTTAAAAATAATGAGGCTAGGATCAGTAGAGAATGACCTACTACTCTTAGTAAAGTGGTCATCCACATAAAACTTCTCCGAAGACAGTCAAGAGTAAATTGCATGGCTATGAACAGGAAAAAAACTCATATCTACAGAGAACTTTCAGTCCTGAGAAGAGGTGATTGGAAAAAAGATTTAGGGATCATAAAAGGCAGAAAAATCAACACAGGCTGCAGCAATGGATCTGATGTGATCCCTGGCATGCAAATGCTGGACTAAGGAACAGAAGTGAGGAGATGATTACAGCTCTCCCTGTGACATGAGTGAGTCTCATGCTGGAAAACTGCACGCTGCTCTGTGGTCCTTATTTTAAAAGCAACATTGAAACAAAAATGATCCGAAGGCTGGCAAACTTAGTAGTTCGAGAAGGTCAATCTGTTTAATTTATCAAAAAGCAGAAAGAGACATGACTTGATTACAGTATCTCTTCCTTCCTAGGGAAAAGCCTACCAGGTATGCCAGCAGAGAATAACAGGAGCTGGTCACTGGAGGGTGATTAATCACAGAAACAAACTTCCAAGAGAAGTGAAAGATGCTCCGTCTCCAAGTCTTTGAATCATGACTGGAGGCCTGTCTGGAAGGCAGCTCCTGATCTGCCAATTCCAGAGGGCTGTGAGAGCACATGGGAGGAAGCGTTACCATGCACTTACCCTCTTCTGAAACTTGCCTGCAGGCAACCACCACCGAGCTGCCTTAGGTATAATTAAGTACAGGGCTCATGTCCCTGTGTACAATAACCAGGTACCGGTTATATGGCTCAAAACTTTCTGAATCATGTTGCTGCCCAAGAGGTTCACCCCACCCTGCTTTGTGCTTAACAAGTTTTTGGCTAGGAGTTTGTCACGCTTATGCAGTTGTGAAAATCATCTCAGAAGATGTGACCCAGGCTACATTTGGAGAACTGGGAAAAATGTCAGCAGCATTTTGACAAGCTTTTCGGATTCTGCAGTGGTAAAGACACAAGCATGTTGTAATCATACAGCATATCCCTATGGGCTCTGAAGTGGGACTGTAAGAGCGCAGGAAGGAGGGTGGCTCTGTGGCAGGAAGAACATGGTGGTTTCATCCTGTGAAGATCAAAACGAGATCAGGAGAAGAAAAGGATGATGCTAGAGATGCTGGTTACAGATACCATTAGAAATTCCAGACACTCAGAAGTAATAACCCATAACCTTCCAGTATATTTACTTTAAAAATAATGAAATATTGTAAAGTCATATTTTCATTCGCATTCTTTGCCTCATACTTTTGAGTCTTCAGGTTACACAAAGATCAATTACACAGTTCTTTGGTAGCCATACGGAGAGAAGCATGCTTTGTTAGCAACATGATCTCAGAGGAATTAAAGATCGAGGAGTTTGGAATTTAATCTCAGCGCCTGATTCCCCAAGCTAGGGAGGAGGTAAAGACTGTGCTAAGTCACGGGCAAGTTGAGGATGCCTTCTAGTGAGAGTTTGCGTGTTTTAAGAGGGTCTTCTCATTTGGAGAGTCCAGGATGAGAGGCATTCAGAAGAGTTTCTGTTATTCCCCTTTGTAGATACAGGCAGGACAACGAGGGAGCAGAACAGTGTTGACCAAACTAATCCAGCACAGCAGACCTAGGGGTCAGAGTGAAGGAGGAGGCAGCATCGAGCTGCTAGGATGCTCAGGCTGCCCGGCTTGATCTGACAAATAATGAAAGGCAGCAAGCGTGTCAGGGAGTGTGAGGGAAACAGATCGATAGAAAGATAAAACTGAGGTGGAAAGAGCTGGCGAGGGGGTTGGGAAGAGAGTAATAAAACTCTACAAATCATTGCAGTTACATCTGAGCCTGATTTGTATGCACCCTGTGCAGGTGTGAACGAAGGCACCGGGTGAAGGCTGTGGCAAATTAGGCCTAACTACAGAAACAGAGAGCTGAAAGAAGGAAGGAGACAGATCTGTCATTAATATTGCCCTGTAACCTGCCTTTGCAACTCTTACCTCAGAAACCCTGCTTGCTCCTTCATCCTGCTGTCTGCAGAAACCAGGGCTCTGAGAATAGGCATTCATGGCCTTTCCCTGATCCATTAGGCCACAGTGATCTTCATTCTCTCCCAGAGAAGTGACACGAGGTGTCTCAGTAGCATTTGCCCAGACAGAGCACAGAAAAGGCTCCTTATAGGCCCTGACATGGCCAGGCTACTATCGGTGGGCACTCTGCTCTCCTCTACTGCCTCAGCATGGAGATCAAGCCTGAATGTGCCTCAGGCACCAAAATCCCTCAAAATGGGTTGGGGCAGCACACAGGGCTGCAGAAATGAGCCTGGAGCCCCCCTCCTGTGCTCGGGCTGCAACTTCGCCATGAGACGCGGTGCCACCACCCCTCAAGAGAAGGGTTCGCTGGAGCAGGAAGAGGCAGTAGCAGGGGAAGGAGGCAGCACACCCAAACACGCGCCATGTGGCTGCTCTCGGGGCACCACGTGCACAGCACCCGCGCACCGCTCCGGGCTCCTGGGACGAAGCCGCCGCGCTGGGCTCGCAGGGAAGACAGCAGCGAGGAAGTCGGCACGGGGCAGGAGATGGGTGCTTCCCAACCCCCGTCTCCCCAGGCTCCGCACGCTCTGTTTGCAAGACATGCCCGTCTGTGCAAGCCAAGACCCATCTCCACGCTGGGGAAGGGCCCTGTGTGCCCGTGAACGCACAAGACCCGACACG